AACCTGCATCGAGGGAAGCCTCGACAATGCCCGTCACAGCTTGGCCCACCGCGGGATCGGGATTTTCGGCTGGGCCGGGCCTCTGGAGGAGGTTCGGGCTGGCCCGGTCAGGGTCGGAGGGCCCGTATCCAAGGGAGGGGCGTTTGAGGCTCGGGTCCTTGGGTGGGCGGCCGCGTCTACGTTTTAGCGGCGGGGAGAATAGTCCGGTTGAGCTCTCGCCTTGGTTCATATTTTCCTTCTCGAAAAATTATTTCGGGTGGGTGGGGTGGAGTTTGACTGGTGAATGGTCGGGTCTTGTGCAGTAGTAGTGGTTTGGGCTGCTGCGGGAGATTTTTCAGTTAGAAGAAAATATTTTATTGATGGAAGGAAAGCAATTCTGCATTCTTAACAAGAAGTATCATAAGACACGTAGCTGTTAACGGTTGACATTGTAACAGTGATTTTTCAAAGACACGACTAGGCTGAATAAGGTCATACATAAACTTTAATCTTCTTCAAATTGGCTCACTTCTGGCTTCTGAGAAGCGAATGTGGCGGTTAGCTTTCACTGGATTGGTCGATTAGCATTGTCTTCCACAAGTTAAATACATTGACAACCTAAGTATAATAATAATAAAAAAAAAAATTAAACGGAGGAATGAAACAGCTACGACATCTGAGTAGGGGGTCTACGAGAAAACGTAATAAGACACATCAAGAGTAGTGGATTTAAGTACCCATAAAGCAAATTAGATGAACTATGAGTCATTTATCTTAGCTGTTACTGTAACTCCACATCCTAAAGCTCAGTTAAAATTTTCTTGTTTGTAGTTCTCTCTACTATTAGATGCTCCACAAATTAAAAGAAAACATGTGTGCAGATCATAAAATAACTCAACTACTTCTACATCATAATAACCGGATTGGTTGACAAATTTAGTCCATTACCATTTAGTAAAAGCAAAGTTCATATCAATACATTGAATTTCACACCCAACTTCCAACTAGAAATGCTATTGTATACCATTGAATACTGAGATTTCAGCGCTTTTTCCGCAAAAGCTCAACCACTCACTAATGTCTTGGAGTTATTGTCGCTAGTTAACTAAAGTCCAGGAAAAGGAAAAAGCTGCTTTTCAAGCTTGGCATTTTGTAGACCTAATGTATCAGGTAAAGTCATGTTCAAGTAAAGTAACGGATCCAATTAAATCTAGTCAAGTAGAAAAGAACTCAAACACAGATATTGACACCCTCGAAAGAGCATATCAGAACTAAACAAGAATCAGAACCTTCAAAATATTATGCCTTTCCTTTTCTGTGTAACTATTTACAACCCAACAAAAACAAAGACAGCCTAGCAGAGCACGAACAATCAGTTACCAAAAGTTGATTACACTCACACACACACACACACATGCGCATATATGTATCTGCACCTATATAGAGATATGTGTACTAAGGTATATTGACGGATAATAAGTTGATGTGTCATGTAACTCCTAACCAGCGCGGATTAAACGAGTAAATTGGTCCATTGATTTCTCAATGTATTAGCTGTAAACAAGCTAAATAATCTATGACGAAGATCTGTTCATCCAATACCCAATCTGAAAAAGCTCCACTATATAAAATCATAGACTAATTTGCATAAGATTCANAAAAAAAAAAAAAAAAAAAAAATTGACATGGAAGAAGTAGAAATTAGAAATTCGCAAAAATCTCAATCAAGAGCCAGTAAATCAATCAAAGAACCACTAAAATATCGATAGTGGATCTTGAAACTTCTACAGTGAATTGATGAGAACAAAAAATTATAGAAATTACAGAAATGGAGGAAGCACAGACCAAAAATATACATAAATTGAAAATGTTAGGTGAATAAACAGAAAACAGTCGAGCCACAAAGTAAAATACAATGCAAAAAATGTCAAGAAAAAATCGTATACCTTGCAGAGAATTACTTTAATGTCTCTCTATTATTTATTTATAAAGACACAAGCAAGGAAGGGTTTCGAAGTAGAGGGAAGAAGGCCATGTTTTCCTGCAACTCGAAAATGGTGGATTTTAGGGGAAAACCAATTCCAATCAGCTGCCCAAATTAGCATTTGGGGAGATTTCTCCCTCCTTTGTACCCTAATGTGCGTTTTTACTGTTTCAAACGAATTCAGCTTTATTTATTTATTTATTTTTTTCTCGAAATTGCGAACTAGTCTTGATGTGGTTTTAAGTATACCATGCGATTGCACGGGCGTGTTTCTTAATTTTTTTTTATTTTTTTTTTGAAAAAACTTTATTTTAGTAATATATTAGATTGTTTTATATTAGTAAATAATATTTTAACATCTATATTTATTTTTTGATATAAAAAAAATAATAATTTTATTTATTTTTGTTTATCATAATATTCAACTAATATTTTTACAAAAAAATTATTGTCATATAATGTCATTAGTATTATTATTATTATTTATATATGATTTTAAGATATTATTAAATATGTTGAGCCTAATGGAAAAAAATCCAAATTCTAAAAAGGCGATGTTTCTATGTGATTTTTAAATCAACAATATTTTATTCGGGATTTACCAAATTTTGATCTAAAAAAAAATTAAACAATTCATATAAATTTGGATACTTTCTAAATTGTAATAAGGTGTTGAAGTTAGAAAATATGGACACCCATGTGATTTTTTAAAAAAAAATTGTTTCATCGATTGTATAGGTGAATTTTTTCTAAGAAAAAATAATTCAATTCTGAATTGCGGTTTAAAATTTTTAAAAAAAAAGTTATCTATAATTTTTTACCATAACTAATTAATTATATATGATACCAATAGCAATAAATTAATTATCATATACATTAAATAATTATTATGCATATCCCATAAATAGATATTATGCATATTAATTAAATAATGACGATAAGCATATGAAAATTTATTATGTAACAATAAATTTATGATGTAAGAATATTTACTTGGTTTCAAATTATTTGTTACAGGTTGTTACATAAATGCAAAGTAAATAAATTTAAATTAATAATTTATTTACAAAATTAAATACAGTAAGTTTAGTATAATATTTTAAAAATCATATGCAAATTAACAATATTCATATATATATTTTATTATTATTATTATTATTATTATTATTATTATTATTATTATTATTATTAATTTGTATTGGCTTTTCATTTAATATATATTTGAATGTATGAATGATTGATAGTCAGGATTTTTGGGAGTGCAGGATCATTTCCTGTTCAAAACAATTTTATGTTATTTGATATATGCACCCGACGCAACCGCGTGGCAACCCGACGACCCTGTGACGTTGGACGAGGCATTAATTCAACTGCCCAATAGATTCGAAGAGTTCAGACGATCTCCAACAGCGGAAATCTACAACGTCTCTGAGTTTGCAATTTTTAAGCCATAAGTTTTTATATTTAAACCTCTAGATCCGTTGCGCATAGGTTTATTGTTGATTATTCAATTCGTGACTTGTACATAACCAGATCTTCGCGGGTCCCAACATGAAATGCACAGGCAGGATGGAAAGTTGAGAAGGTGAAGAGGTGGTCGACTAGGAGCGTCCAATCATGGTTGAAATGGAAGGGAGAGATTAAAAGAGCAAGCTGAAAAGATAGGTCAATCTGGACCGTTGGATGAAAGCAAAGTTGGACAAATAGAAGGAAGAAACATTAATGGCCACGTCGTTTGATAATGGAATGGGATTTGAGGCGATAACGTTGAAATATTGTTACTCTGATGTGAAGAGATATCAGTTGACCTGACATGGTATCAGTAATTTATCGAAATTTGAATTAAAGACCTTGTACTTAGGTCGAATGAGTTGTGTTGACTGGACAAGAAGAGTAAAGGTGAGCTGGCAGGTCGGCTCAGTGAGCATAACTGGGATTAATTGATTCTACTCTTAGCTTGAGGTATCCCTACTCGACTAGATAAGGGGATTAGGTGATATGGGATACAATAACAGGTCGTGTATAGCCAAAAGAGCGTCCGACCAGATGTCAAGGACAACGGAGGTCGAAGAATCATCAAGTCGATGGTGATCTCACAGATAAGAGAACTCGCCAATAGGTCGAGCTAGGGCTCTTGGCTAACCTGATAGAAACACGACCTGGAGTGTGCAGGTCGATGCATGACCTAAGAGAAAGTCTTATCCAATGAAGGTCGGAGCAACTTGGTTCAAGGGAATCCGAGCAGGTAGAACAATTAGACTTACTAATGAGGTAGTCTAATGTGAACACACTATATAATGGATAAGAATGAATATAATTAAGATAAGAAGACCACGTGACCTAACAGAATTGGGCAATTTGGCCACTCGAACAGTATGAGTGGATAGCTCGGACACTTGGGGTTGCCCAGACTTGCAGCTTTGGGCAACAAGGTAACACTCTTATATAAAAAAGGTGGCATATGATCACTTCTACTCTGCACACTCTAATATACCTACAATTGTATACAACTCATAATGTTCATCTTCTTCATCATTGTTCAGAACTTTTACAACTCATAACTTGAGCGTCAGAACTTTTACGCCGAGACAATTCCCAACGTTGTTTTGTAGGTCTTTCTATTGATCTAGAGTATGATGCAAGGTTGTTCAACCCGAGTTCGTTTGCATCACCAAATTTTAAAGTTTTCTATCATATATATTGATATATTTTTCATATAGTATAATAAATTACTAACTATTTATAGAATTGAAAATGGTGGTTAGTAAAATAATTTAAAAGTCATAAACAATATGAAAATCCTAAATTAAATGTTTTATAATTTAATGAAAAAACCTAATTTTTGTGAGTATCCTCACAAAAGACACCAGATGCCACATCAGGATCACTGATCACTAAAATTGGAAACTGCCGATTCTTCAACTCCTGACTTAGTTGCTTATGTAAACTTCTTGTATAAAAGGGAATTTCTTTTAAAAGAAAACTTTTAGTAAACTTTATTGTAGTAAATACTTGTGACGAAAACAATCATATTAAGAATTTAGACATTGCGTACAATCATCTATTCTTCTCAACTTTATGAATATTAACAAGAAATTTAGGTTTGCAAATAATTTCCAAAGATTTAAGTTCTTTATTGAACTCTTCTATTTGAATATACAATAAATCATATTTCCAATGGCAATTTAAATTACCATTCAAGTAGGTTTTGATAATTATAACTTATCACCCGTGGAAGTTTTTTTTATTTTTATTTTCTTCTTAGACATTTTCAAATCTAACATGAGACTGAAATGGAGTTGACTTGTTTGTACCTGATTTAAATAAACTGCATCGATAACCTTAATAATACACATATACAACAATAATAAATAAAAATACAAAAGGGATTTATCCACCCAAACCTTCCATAGTATGTAACACGCATCGTTCACACAGTACTACAGTACAATTCACAAGACAACATGATCTTTCAAGACCTGCCTAGCGAGATCAAATGCCCCACTTTTCTTATAGATCAAGTGTAGATTATAAGCCGCCTCTCGACGAAGATCACAGTAGCCCGGATTTTTAGCATCATCTGAGTCTTGATTATCGTTCGGAAGTCTAGGGATAGGATAATCCTTCTCCCTAACAGCCAATACCTTTTCGTAGTATGTAGCGGCCAATGAAATTAAACCCACGTGATGGTATGCCCGAGCAATGTTGTACATTGACTCCTGCCAACAAAATCAAGATTTGAAGTGGGATTACGTGTAAATCCAATTTATATACACAAAAAATTATTCAAAGATCAATCGCGTCTAAAGTAAATATTAAAGGATTTATACGCAGAATCGAACCTGGCTGCCTTCACAAAGTCGTGCATTTTCATAGAGGAAAGCAAGCCCTTGCAATATGGTCTGGTGCTTGTTTTGCAGTCTGTGACCGAGGCCCAAGTTTATCAAGGCAGTTCCTTGAAAACAGAAGATGTTAACAGTTACTTAGGTGTGATTGGATATGAATTATAGCTAATTTTGAAAAAGGTGGTATGGTTAGTTGTCAGTGGATATATTAAAATAATATTTAAATTAAATAAATAAAGCTGTTTTGATGTAAAAGTAGAAGAAAAATGATTGGGAGTGAGGTTAGTTAAAATTATGTGAGTTGATGAATAGTGAATTAAAGTTGATGTGATGTGTAAGAATGATTGGTTGATATAATTTAATTATTTTGATAATATGGAGGATAGTAGAGTTGAGTTAAATTTGAGTTTTGATTGGTTTTTTATTAATTATTCTCCACCAAGCATTAGAATATTTAATTATTCGACACTGTGAAACAGAGATGCATATATGATATACCAGCACAAAGATTGATCAATGTATTATCGGGCATAAGTTTATGAGCTTCCAAATACTCCCGAGCAGCTGCTTGATGCTGACTAATCATGGTAAACCGGTGTGCTGAAATCACTATTGGTGGTATCGAATCTTTGTGCTTCACTCTCATGCTATGAAGGAACTTGTTGCGCTTTGATAAATTATTGTACCTGAATTGGGAAAATAATTAACAGAAGGGGGAGAAAAATTAAAAGCAAAGAAAACAGAATATATCAAACTCCATCCTAGTCATGATTATAAAGGTTGAAGCTGCAAATTTTGCAGCTTGAAAATTCTGAGTGCAGACATCATATGGTCACTTGCATGTTACATAATACACTCAGAAATCCTGATCAAAATCGAGTAACAGCATTTTCATATCCATGTTCTGTCAGTTGTGTTTATTTTCTAAAAGTAGTTTCATCAGGCAGGCAGCTTCTATCTGCTTCATGACAATCACACAATTAATCAAATTTGGAAGCTTTTTTACTTTCTTGTGGACAGATATAGATCACTGTTGAACATAAATCATGTATCGGATTTGTATTATCGGTATTTTAATTTGAACCGAGTAGCAACTAGCAAACACTATTATAAGTAAGTTCATTATCCATAGGAACATCCACTCAAGTTTAAATGTGAATTCAGAATTAGATGCAAAAGTGGACGAAGTGGATACAGAGAAACAGTTAAAAAGAGACAAATGAAGTATTGAAACCTCAATATTCCTTTATAGTAGCAACTCCAAGCAGAAAAGCTGTAAGGATGCCTACTAACAAGGTAGCGCACACATTCCCAACCATGCAGAGGATCAGAAATATTGTAAGATACCTCTGCAAGNAAATCAGAGATGGTTATGATCATTTTACTACTGTCAGGACACTGTCTACCATACAGAAATGAAGAAGTGAAAATGGAATGCAAAAAATGTATGAAAACCAAATAAGAGAGTAAAAGAAGAACCTAAGAATTTTTTTTAAAATATTAAAACTTACGAGCTCCAAGAGTTCGAAGCTCCTCTTTTATTTGAGCAGACAATGTGTTACTTTCTAATTTCAGGCAGATATTGATGATCTCCAATGCATCCCAATACCTCCGCAACACGGATAATGACTTGCATAACTGTTGAAAATGGTATGAGAATTTATTCAGTAAGAGATAATTCAGGAAAATGCGTCGCAAACCACAACAGTGGATCATATCAAGGGAAATCTGGCAAGGGATCGGTCTTGTGCATAAGCAACTCTTGATATATAGCAACACAAATATATAACAAGAAACAAGACCACATGCACATAGGAGAATGAATGGGACATGCATGAGCAACTCACATCTACAATCAAAAGATGATTTTCTTCTTCTTTTAGAAAATCTGGCAAAGGAGATTCCTGAACCACTTGCTGCACAAGTGAAGAACAACCAGAAAGTGAGAAAAACATTAAGAGGTTTTCTCTTAAAATAAGATGTCAATTGAACCACTTGCTGCACAAGTGACGAACAACCAAAAAGTGAGAAAAACAGTAAGAGGTTTTCACTTAAAAATAAGATGTCAATTCCTCATTCCTTACAGGAGATTCATCATCTGAATCATCACTCCTCCAATCAATTCCAGCAGCTAATGCTGCAGCTTTTTGCACTTCTCTCATTGCTGCCTTCTTCTCCAGCAACCTCTTTGCCCTCGAAGCTTTAGACCTACACCAAACATCAAATAAATAAGTACTCAAATACTTACATATACATTTCATATAAGCATGCTCCGTGTGATATGGTTGGTCGATACAAACTAGAGAACACATTACATCTTCTTTTAAGGGGGGTGGGGTGACTACATGTACTAAAATGAAGTGTTTCTGTTAGGGTATTTACATTTAAAATTGTATTAGGCAGTATATTTGTTGTACATCAGAGGTTAGAATCATCAGTGTTTAAAATGGCCTGCCCAGTAGGATACTTTGGTAATTTGATTGGAGAATGCAAGACAACCATTGAAGTTGCAAAATACATCATAGCAAAATAGAAGTACTTGCCCAACTTGTATGCATCAAATACCAGCTTTACCAAACTAACCCTATTTAAGATTTTTTATGCAAAAAGAAAGGTTAATAGAAACAAGATACTCACAGATCCGCAGAGGAAGCAACAGGCCTAAATCCATGAAACACATTGTCAGTTTGCTGATAATCCAACACTTTGACCCTTTCTGATAGAACACTTCTAGACAGTCGTCGTCGGGCTTTCACCTGCACATATAGAATATTCTGGAAGATCAAAGAAAACGTTGAAAAGGAAAACTATCCTCTGTCACAATTACTCAGGCCACATGGACACAAGTGATAGAAATCACAGTCGATTTGCAGTCATGCTATAAACAAACATGTAAACTGTTTCATGCCCGCTTTCATAGTAAAAACGAGAAATGACATTATAATCTATCATCAGTGACATCACATGGAAGAATGAAAATACAAAATGGTGGGAGCAAAGAGAAACTGGCAGATGGATGAGTTTAGTGAACGGGCAACCAAATCAGATGGCCAATAAGGCCACTTAAAAGTATTATCAAAGTCCACATCAATGTGATGTTTGGTAAATAATGAGATACTCATCTTCTGGGCAGAGAATAAGAAGTTGCGTAATTGTGGATTTACACATTTATATTAAATTTCTATTGCATCTCGCACCTTGAGAATACCCCAATTGTAGTTTTTTAACAATTATCCAAAGAGACACTATCTATTTTTTTTATTTTTTATTTTTTGTTAGCATCTGCAGGCAGAAAGAGTATAACCCTAGAATTTTCAAATATCTGTATTCTCATACATTCCGGGGTCTCTTCTTATTGCATATTTTACCTGAACTTTTAGTGTACTTAGTACAGAACAATTACTTCAACAGCCAAAACAAGCGACCACTGCAGTTTTCTGTGTTACGGAACCATGCACAACATAAAAGAGAGCATTGCATGATATCAAATTATTTTATTTTTGCACAATTCAGACTCTTATCTCCATATCAAATTAATCCTGAGGCAGAGGCCAGAGAGAGACAGAAACCACTATATTTACCTTAAGTTACATATGATATGCCTAGGATAGCCTACAGGACAATGTGAGAGAGAGAGAGAGAGACGTGGACTGATTGCAGCACTGACTTACCTTTTGTTGCATTGTTTCGATAAACAACATCTCACGAATTACAGGAAACAATACATCAGCAAAACTTTCAGCTGACCCCTTGGCTTTATAAATTTGAGCAAGCTTCAACTTTATCTTCCCATTATCCCACCATACTTTACACGTAACTGAATTTCTGTCAACATCTAATACTGAGGACCAAAAGAACATTTTACAATTATTTTTTAAGCAAATATTACAAGGACATTATAGGTGAAGATAACAGATACCTGATTCTACTGGAGGAGAAAGCACAGAAATAGCTTCATCATCTCTTCCTTCTTCAACAAGGAGACACGCCAGAACCAACCGAGCATCAACACTATCAGCAAGTTTTTTAACAGCTACAAGAAATTAAATAGGGTCACAGATTTCAGTATATTATGATTACTTCGGAAAGAAACATCCTCCATATATATAATATGAATTATCCGAGTATAAATGCCAACATCTGGCGCTTCATAATCATAACCCTATATGCCGATATCTAGTGCTTCGTATTCCTATATGTCAAATTAGTATATATAGATTTGCACTTTTATCATGCCTATTCCTATGTGTCAAGTTCTGGTGATTCTGAGTAGTATACATAGATCTGCACTTTTATCATGCCTATTAAGGGCATGCTTGTTTATAAATTATTTCACCCACTTTCAATTCATACTCAAAATCTAACTCAACTTTAACCCAACCCCACTATTTTTAATATTATTCATATAATTAAATAATACAAACCAATCATTCTTACACATCACATCAACTTTAATTCACTATTCATCCATTCACATAATTTTAACTACCTATCATTTCTAATCATTTCCAATCATTTTTCTTCTACTTTTACATCAAATCAATTTTAATCATTTTATTTTAAATATTAACCTTGCAAGGAGGGAGGATAGGAGCGCTTGCGTAGATTGTAACGTGATACCTGGGGAGTGTGTTGTCCCCCAGCATAAGCTGGTGGTGGCGGATTTTCGATTCCGAACACGTGTCCACCGGAACAAATGTGCCAAGACCGTGAGAACGAAGTGGTGGAAGCTTAAAGGGGAAGCGGCGCAGACATTTAGGGATAGGATGCTAGGTGAGGAGCCTTAGGAAGAAGGAGAAGATGCAGAGGACATGTGGCTAAAGATGGCAACATGTGTACGGAAGGTGGCTGCAGAAGTCCTTGGTGTGAGTAGGGGAGGCAAGCAGGAAGCGAAGTAGGGGAGGCAAGCAGGAAGCGAAGGACTCTTGGTGGTGGAATGACGAGGTGCAAAGGGCTATTCAGGAGAAGAAGGAGTGTTTCAAGCGCCTCCACCTTGACAAGAGTGCAACCAACATTGAGAGCTATAAAATAGCGAGAAGGGATGCAAAGCGTGCCGTGAGTGTAGCGAAGGGTCAGGCCTATGATGACCTTTATCAGCGCCTAGGCACGAAGGAGGGGGAGAAGGACATTTATAGGATGGCTAAGATTCGGGAGAGGAAGACAAGGGACATCAACCAAATCAAATGCATCAAGGATGGGTCGGATCGGCCACTGGTGAAGGATGGGGAGATCAAGGACAGATGGCGAGAGTACTTCGACAAATTGTTTAATGGAGAGAGTGAGGATCCTACCTTGAAGTTGGATGACTCATTTGAGGATACCAATAGACGCGTGGTGAGAAGAATTCGGGAGGCAGAGATCGGAGAGGCTATGAAGAGGATGAAGGGAGGTAAAGCAATGGGCCCTGATGGTATCCCAATTGAGGTGTGGAGATGCTTGGGCGCCAGAGCGTTAGCTTGGCTAACTAAACTTTTTAACCTCATCTTCCGGTCAAACAAGATGCCTGATGAATGGAGGAGAAGTACTTTAGTACCGATCTTCAAGAACAAGGGAGATGTTCAAAGCTGTGGTAACTACCGTGGGATTAAGTTGATGAGCCATACGATGAAGCTCTGGGAGAGGGTTATCGAGCATCGCCTACGACGAGTGACGAGTGTGACCCAAAACCAATTTGGGTTCATGCCTGGAAGGTCGACCATGGAGGCGATTTTCCTAATACGTCAGTTGACGGAGAGATATAGGGACCAAAAGAAGGACTTGCACATGGTCTTTATCGACCTAGAGAAGGCTTATGACAGAGTACCGAGAAATGTCATGTGGTGGGCCTTAGAAAAGCACAAAGTCCCATCTAAGTACATTACCCTCATCAAGGATATGTACAAGGATGCGATGACGTGCGTCCGAACATGTGGGGCGACACCAGCGACTTCCCAATTAAAATAGGACTACACCAGGGGTCAGCATTGAGCCCTTATCTATTTGCCTTGGTGATGGATGAGGTCACAAGGGACATACAAGGTGATATCCCTTAGTGTATGCTCTTTGCTGATGATGTGGTGCTAGTTGACGAGAGTAGAGCAGGGGTAAATAGGAAGTTGGAGCTGTGGAAGGACGCGTTAGAGTCGAAAGGCTTCAGACTTAGTAGGACGAAGACCGAGTACATGACGTGCGCTTTCAGCATGGCTTCACATGATGATGGTGACGTTACCCTTGACGGGCAAGTGGTGGCCAAGAAGGAGACTTTCCGGTGTTTGGGATCGATGCTACAAAAGGATGGCGGCATTGATGCTGATGTTAGGCATAGAATTGCAGCCGGTTGGTTGAAATGGCGTCAGGCGTCGGGCGTTCTCTGTGATAAGAGGGTGCCACAAAGGCTAAAAGGTAAGTTCTATAGAACGACGATTCGCCCGACGATGCTATACGGTGCTGAATGTTGGCCTACAAAAAGGCAACATGTGCAACAACTAAGTGTAGCAGAGATGCGTATGTTGCGTTGCTTCTGTGGCCACACAAGAAGGGATAGAATCCGGAATGAGGATATTCGAGATAGGGTCGGGGTGGCCCCAATTGAGGAGAAATTGGTTCAACATCGGCTGAGGTGGTTCGGACATGTCCAACGGAGGCCTCCTGATGCGCCGGTGCGTAGGGGAGTTCTACAGCGGGTCGAGGATGTTAAGAGAGGTAGAGGTCGGCCTAAACTCACTTGGGAAGAGTCGGTTAAGAGAGACCTTAAAGATTGGAATATCTCCAAGGATTTAGTGGTGGATAGGAGCGCTTGGAGGCTCGCTATCAACGTGCCAGAACCGTGACTTTTGCTCCTTTTTCTCTCTCTCACTTTTTTTTTTTTTTTTTTTTTTTCGATCTCTTCCTTTCGGTTCGAGTCTTTTGTGTTTCTCTTGGGTTTCATCTCTAGTCTACCCCGACTTGCTTGGGACTAAAGGCTATGTTGTTGTTGTTGTTATTTTAAATATTATTTTAATACATTCTTAAAATTTCACTAACAATTAACCATACTACTTTTTTTTAAAATTAACTCTAGTTAACTAAAATAACTCATTTTGAATGAAATATTTCATAAACAAGCACGCCCTAAGAGTTGTAAAATTTTAAAACACATGGTCAACTTAAATTATAAATAAATTTTAGAACTTAATAACACTTCAATTTGTTAACAGTTTTTCATGCAAATATAAAAATTAATCAGCTTTTTAAGATCTTTGATTTGACAACCATATTGTATATATATTAAAATTATATCTACTTCTATAAATAAGAATTAAATTATCTATAAATCCTAATTGAAAAACAAAAAAAAAAAATATTTATTAATTAGATAAATTTACATGATATTAGTAAAAAAAAAAAATTGTTATAATATAGGACGAACGAGTCTTACTAGTGATGGGTGTCCTTTAATATGCACATTTTTTATGAAATGTTTGAAAAATTAAAATAAAAAACTTTTATTTATCTTTTAATTTTGAAAGTTTTCAATTAACACCTGTAATATACATGAGTGTCGTACTACTACTAGTCTAAAGATTAAGATATAATGTATCATGGTAGAATCACAAAAATATAAAAATCTGAATTCTAATTGAGCACTTGTTTATACAAAAATCTGCATCTTTCATTTACCTTTGTAATAATATTCAATCGCAAGCACTCCATTCTTCAAAGAAGCATAACACCTTGCAATTTTCAAATGCAGGTAACCCTAAATATATGTTACAAGTGAATATGAAAAGGTTAAGCATTGAGAACCATAAAGTATCTCATTAAGGTACTTCTGCCACATCAAATTCAATATAAATGAACTTACATTATACTTCTCCGCGTCTTCTTCTAACATCATGTAATATTTTAATGCTGATTCACAACACCCAGCAGTCATCAGTGAGTCCGCAATATCAATGACTAAATGGGGATGAGTAAATGAATTCTCTGGTTTAACTTCACTGAAGCAAACCTGTGAAACAATTTGGTGAGCAACCAGAATGCTTAAACCAAAAGCTCAAACTCTGAAAGAGGAAACGTAAAATAAGCCTACAAGAAGAGGACATGTGAAGTGGCTGGAAAAAACTGAGACTAGAGGTGCTTTGAAAGTGTTGGGAGATGAAAAAAATGGTGTTCGGAAGTAATCATGGGCACAAGATGCAGCTCCGCACATACAGTGCATGGTTTTATGCATCAGTGCCTAGAAAGATATGATTAACTTCCCCTATGTAAAACATAAACATATATCTCTTATAAATGTCCATCTCTAGATAAGATTTCCTCACTTGGCTATCAAAGCACAGTGTCCACTTTTTTCCTCTACTTGACAAATTAGAACCATTAACTACTAGTTTACTTATCAAAACATAGTGTCCTACATAGTATTAAACAGCAAATGGTGATTCCCCCATGGCCTGACCACGAGGCAGGCAAGGCCTCAGAAACACAAGACACCACCNAAACTAAAAAATAAAAAGAGAAACAGAAAAAGAAAAATAAAAACTGAAACTAGAATTGAAAAAGAAAATAAAAAGGAACGATGAAAAGCGTACAGGCCAACAAACAGAAAAGAGAAAAGATGGAAAAAATGAAAGAAGAAAGGAAAAAAAAAACAAAAGAAAAGGCAGACAACAAAAGCAGAAAACGGCAGTCAGGGAAAGGAAATACAAAAAAGCAGAAAAGAAAAAAAGGAAAAGGAAAAAAGAAGAAAATGTAAAATAAAGAAAACAAAAATCCATAAGGAAAGAGCAGCAGAAAGGAGACAGAGAAGGAAAAGAAACAAAAAAACTCTAGTCGGGTGCGTCGCGGTTCTCTGAAAAAAAACTCAAGAAGCAATTCTCGACATCTCTCAAAATATTCAAAAGCTGGTGGCACCCAAGCATGGTGTGCCTCCACGTTGCCTTTGGCGAAAGGTGTTGAATGGAGCCATTACGCGCCCGCCACAGGCAGCAGCGAGGTGATTTCACACCTGCCCCTGCCACCTTTCCCCATGGCAGCACCATTTAAAAGTTAAAACTATGGTGTCCATAGTTAGAACTTAGAACCATTAATTACTAGTTTACCAATAGAAGTGGTTGATATCCTCAAGGGAATATTCCATTATAATACCTGATAGCATTGCATCACAATAAGCCATAAATTTTCAAATCCCAATTGAGGATTTCAATGTACAGTTATTATCGCTTAAAGGCTCACTTTTATATTTTAACATTTTCTATTATAAATATGTAAAATATAAATTACAAACATAATTATGTCGAAATATGAAGTTAGTTGAGGTCTTAATTGAGAACGAAAGTGTAAAAATAAGCCTTCAATTGATAGTAACTTTAAATTGAAGCCATCAATTGAGAAAGTTCAAAACTCAGCCCTATTTTGACAGAAAACTAAAACACGATGCCTTATAATGGAATTTCCTTATCTTCAAACAGCAAGGCGGCATTCTCATCATGTTTAGTTAAATTGATTCCCAGACTTTCACTCATAGTACTGGTTATTGGCAACCTTGAAAGTTGGGACAACTTAGTTCTCTAGAATTCGTACTCCAATTTACAGGATTCCTTCTTTAGGCACTGCGATATACTAAATCGAAATTAAGTTGGGTCCGGCATAATAACTTAAATATTCTAAACACAATTAATTCACGGAAACTTTAAATAGGATGTGATGTTCCACACGTAATACATATTCTTCATACACTAGTTACGTCTCACAATGTTCTATAGTGGAAGTGAAGGATATTCTGGAGTTCTTCAAGTGCAAGATGAGCTAATATGACTGCATATATCAAGACATGTGCACATTCATTGACGACACTAACAAGATAGATAGATTTTATCCCAATGAACTGCTAATTCACGAGATCTTAAACCTAACAGTACTAAGACAAAATAGATTAGGATGGATATAAACAATTCAAATTGCAAAGATGTTGACAAACCTCTGCTTTCTCCATATGTCCAAGCTGAACATGGCAAATTCCAGCTTTTATAATTACGTGCAATGGAATCTCTTTTTCATCAACGCAACCCTGCTGTGCACGCTCAATATGTTCAAGAGCTTTGGCATATGCATTGTTTTCCATGAGTACTGAAGATAAGAGATCAACCACACGTAGGTTAGCATGATTGTCATGATTCCTGAGACTGTCCTCCAGCATAGAAACAGTTCGCTCATGCTGCCCACATTTTTTATACAGCTGAACAAAAAGAATAAAGAAAAGATCCCTTTTAACAGAAAGTAAAAGATAACGAAAAAATAAATAAGCATACCAACATACAGTAGAAATGAAGAGCATTTGATGAAAGTGACATGTTGAATGAAATCACCTGACTCATGTCCATATAATCTTAGACAGCAATGCAATTATGTGGCTTCTTCTCTGACTTTCAAACTTACGGAGAAGCAACCACATAATGCACAGAAAAGCATTTTTATGTTATTTATATTTATCTTTGCCTTTTTGGTCACTTTCCCATGTCTATTGTCGCAGTGTTGCTAGCGGAGATGACAAAACAAGAAAGAGATAATTATAGCAGTAGAACCTGACCCATACTGGTTGATGGTTCACCACGTTTTCTTTGCATAAAGTTATAAGGTTAATTTAATTAATCAGCTATTACGCTCCAATATAAGGACCAACGCAACTATATATATTTTTGTAACAAGAAGTTATTGCAGTTACTCTTAATTACTGATAGTAAAATGCTTGTTATGCTGACAAGACAAGCTGATGATTGTGAGAAGATACACAACGTCCGATTCCAGGCTATAACTACTAAAAGAGGAAAACCAGACGGTAATCCAAACCTTATTTACATTTGTAGGAAAACAAACTCACAAGCGAGAACATCCCAGCATGGTTAGGCTGTACAGCTGGTGGTCATAGTACCATGCTCATAGTTCATCCTCATTCAAGATGACTTTCTATTTATGGCTTCATACATGACCTTTAAATATCTTCATCTTAAATTGCAGGCAATAACAGAAACTTTAATAGAAGACGCAACCAAGCACGACATTCTCAACTCTTTCATTACACAGATAGTAAACAAATACACCTACGAAGGAGAAAAAAAAAAAAGTTAAAACAATAATTAAACCTGAGTTGCCTTTTCCAACACTTCAATGTTATCAGGACAATGACGGGAGATTTGCTCATATGAATCAGCCGCTTTAAAACAATCGCCAAGCTCAATGTAGAGTGACGCACGATGTAACCGAAGACCAATATCGTGTGGATCTGCTATTATGGCTTTATTGAGACAGTAATTTGCCTGTCTTTTGTCTCCTTGCTCTCTGTATAAAATAACATGACATTCAAAATTAAGTTAAAGTGTTAAACCTTACAACCTAACAATGTAAAACAGAAAACATAAACTGCCAACAGAGCTTCCAACGACAATAATAAAGTAGTAGAGGACAGAAATGTCAATTTCCATGAAAATGCATGAAGTACCAGAAGATTTACAACTCTTTTTGTTTTAATTAAATATTGACATGAAATAATGTCTAAAGGGTCCTTCATCAATAAAGAATGGCAAGAATAAAGATAAAAAGAAAGGAGAAGGATAACTCCATAACTTTCCTCTTTGTTCTATCTATATGTCCTAAAGTTCTGCAATAGATAATCCAAACTAATACTTCAACAACTATGATCGTCTTGATGCGAGCTTTTGCAAAAGAACATAACATAATGACATAAAGAACATAGCATAATGACATGACAAAGCTAAGTGAAAGTATACATGCGGCTTATAAACATTTAAGAATATGCTGAACTAAGTGGCCATTCGTATATTTATGAAATAACCAGAGAAACGACAATACAACAATACGAAGGAAGACCAAAATGCAGATAAGGAATGAGATGCCTGTCAATTTCTAACAGCTACTCCAATGATGATGATGCGATTATNAAACACTAACACATTTGAACCTGAGATCAAAATAAATGAGGCATCTTACATTGACTGAGCAACAAGAAGTTTCCACAAAGAACAATCCTTTGGCGTCAAATGGGCAGCAATCATGTAAAAGTTCAAGGCTTTCTTCTTATCACCCATAGCGGTATATATCAGACCAAGTGTATGATATGGATCAGATAAATTAGGCGCAACAAGAATAACTTCTTTTAACAAACAAATTGCCTGCCAAGATATGAACAATCAAGATATAAATCAAGTGAAATATAAAATTAATAATTTTTACTCGATTAAGTCGAGCAGATAACATTCTTCCACAAAGACAGGCAATTGTTGAGAAGTGTGCACTATGAAGGAAAGCATGCATTAATTACAACGATATAAGGCACACCTAGATGCTCAGTTTGATATCTGATCTACAAATGTTACTGAAGTACAATTATTTTGCAATGTCAGTAAAATAACAGAAGTTCATGGTTGGGTAGTAACATGCAGTGTGTACTTAACCAAAATTAGTGTGCACATGCACTTCTATTCAATTCATGCTTAAAGCAATTGACCTAAGTAAAACATCTTTTGAACTACGGAAATACGGATGCAACAAAACTATCCATCTTGGCCTCAAAACAGCTCCCAACCATAAGAATCTCATCTTCCGTGTTTTGAAAAGAATAAACAACAAACTTCATGCAATTCAAATTTTTTTATCCTCTAGTCAGGGAAGATATACAAATAANAAAAAAAAAAAAAAAAAAAACTCTCCATATTCAATTAAATCAAAGACGGGAAGGAAGGCATAACGTTTTTTGGATACCTAAGATGAAACTGTGGAATTAGATAAGATGGCAAATACATACCTCTTCAAATCGACCGTGTGCATAATGAAGTGTGGCATCACCAAGTTTTCGACTCACTTCAGGCTTGACTTTATTTCTTGATCCCTTTCTCCTTCCTGATTTCTTATTCTGATTTAATGCCAACAGGAACAAGATAAATGAAAAACCAGACAGTTGCAGAAAAACACATGGAATTCCTGAAGCAACAAATCTCAAAAAGAGAAAATATCAATTCACCATAAAACAATTGTGTGAGGCTATCACACTAGCTCAGGAAAACTGTAGATAATCAAAATGAAAGCTTAGAAGCTGATGTTGGGTTCGTCAAAAACTGCAAAATCGAAGTGGCGTAATCACTATTGATTTAAACTCTTTTTTGTACTTCAGTGCCCTGAGCATATATCCATGTTTACAACAGAGCACTCTTTCACATCAGCTAGCTCCTTCATAATTTTATAACCAAGAACTCGGATTTTAAAAAACACTACACAAATGAAAATAGAAAAGGTCCACCCCAGAAATTAGATGGAAAATAACACAAAATTTAGAGTCCGAGGATGTCATATCAGAACTAATCAGAAAAGAAAAAACAAACCCAAACCTTCCTCGATCGTCTTCTCATACCGTAGTTCATCGTCTCCATTATTTCTTCAAAGCTTGCTCCAAGTACTTCATCCTGTCGCAACCTCTTAGAAGGCACTTCACTGCAATCCCAGAGTACGAATAAAAAGAAGAGACTATGAATGAGGGTCGAAGATCAAGTCCAACGAGTAGGCACTAAACTGCACCAATCGTTTATAATATACTAATTATTACGAAAATGAAGTGATTATAAAAGAATATTTACCTCAGGGTTTCCTGAGAAGCGGGGCGCTTCTTGACAGCCAGGACCTCGTAATCATACTCTATCCGCTCAAATCTTTCATAAGGCTGCAATCCGGAGGCATCTTTTTCTTCCGCAAACGACAAAGGGTCCATTTCCCCTTGGAATTGAAATTTGTACTCCGATTTATCATCAAGCTCTGTTTCTTCTTCTTCCTCCTCAGAAGCTTCACTATAGTCAGCATCTCCTTTGTCCTCATCTTCCTCTTGTAAATTGAGCCCTGACTCATGTTCCAGTTCCTGAGGATGTTCGGATGCATCAAATATTAGAGTCTCTTCAGGTACTAAACGACTATCACTAGTGTTGCTATCCATTTTGGGGATTGCATCACCATGCTCGATCATGATTTTCCCTTCTCACACGAAGCCTGCAAGTATGGGCAAATGAATTGGCATATGTAATTAAATTAAAACTACTTTGGGATTTTTCCATCCTAAGCTGTCGAGCATCCGCTTTTAGAGTCAGTGGTAGTGGGTATTGTATATTTGAAAAAACATAAAATCATGGCTCAATCGCATAATAACTCATCACCTTTTTAAGTTTTGCTGAGTTAACCAAACTTTTTCAACACAGTTTAACTAGGGAAAACAGAAAAGAAAACTAACACAACAATACAAAAATGAAGTCAAAGCCACAATCCAACAGGTAAGAAATATTACGACTCTTTTCAACTAAAATATGATACCAGCACACAAAGTAAACGAAAGCGAAAACGAAAACCACAGTGGAACAATTTCTAACATTAATATTTCAGTTAAAAAAAATAATTATTACAACAACAACAACAACATAGCCTTTTAGTCCCAAGCAAGTTGGGGTAGGCTAGAGATGAAACCCAAGAGAACCAATGGTAAAAAAAAAATAATAATAATAATAATTATTCTATCACAATTTTCCAAAGTCAATAAAATATCTCAAATCTCCAGAAAACTCTATCATCCACAAAGGAGAAAATAGAACGAGTAATTCATAACCACAAATATTAGTATATTAGAAAATGAAGGGGCCCTTTACCTTCTCCGGTGCTTGATATTTGTAAGAAAGTAAAACAAAACGCCGGAACTTTTACATAGCCGTCAGTATCGCTGGAAACGCCGCATTCATATCAAAATCCTTCATGTCCGTCTCCTTCACTGGACAGATGCCGTCGTCGACCGCAGTTTAGGGACTGCCTCAACAATATGTAGCCGGAAATATGGAGTTGGCCCGAATTTTCACTCGCCGTCAACCGAAAACACAAGGTCCACTGAACTTGGCGTCACAAGCCGGAATTACTATGTCATCGGAGAGAGGAAGTGATCAGAGATGGTGAACAACCGGAATAGAAGCTTGGAGAGACAATGGGCCAAAATTTGTGTCACTGAACTTTTTCAATTATCACGTAGGGCACTCGTTACACTTTCCTACAAACTGGTGTGTTTTTTTTTCTTTTCAAAGGAAAATTATATTAATATTGAAAAACTAAAAAATGTACTGGAAGGGGTGTCAAGAAAGGGTGTCAAATGACACAACAGAATCAGAAAGTCTGGACTTATCCTCTTAGATAAACACATGAGTCTAAGGAATACAAACTCCATCGAGGAGACAGTCGCACACACAAAACCTAACTTCATAAAGGAGACTAGAACTCCATGACGTAGATTATATGTCAGACACCGCTTGACTTAACAGAAAAAAACACAAGGAAAGATAAAACAATTCATACCTAATAAACAAAGTAGAATAATATCACCCCTAAATTTAGGGGCTGAACCTCACAACCACCTAATCTGACTACTGAGTCACACCCACAACTAGAACGTCAACCAAGTAAAACTACTAGACATCAAAACTGAAAACTGCGGCAACTTAACTGCCTAGACAGATTTTCGGTCCAAATCTGGACACCGGAGAACATCCACGTCGGGGGAGGAAAGGGGGGCCGCCAAGAACTCGTCGGAGGGTCCGAGACAAGGATCCGAGGAGGCATCGCCCGCAGCATCCCGAGCAGCCCGACCAGGCGGCACGGCGGCACGGCGGGACACAGAGCACCACGATTGGGCGCGGCCGAGTAGGCACCTTGGATCCAAGGAGAAGAACATGGCGCACAAGACGGTCTCCCGCGGTTGGGGTTGGAAATGACGGCCGAAAACCCCTCTAGTGCGGGGGGAAGGTCAAGAGGTGAAGCTTACTGCCAGCCATTTCACCCACCGGACTCAAGGAGAGGCAGGGAGGGGCACCAAGCTGCGACTCGGCCAGGCCGGCCTGGTGGTCGCTGGGGACAACTCGCCGGCAAAGGGGGGCGACGAGATCTGAGAAGGGAGTTTTCTGCGAGAAAGGAATCGAGAAATTGAGAGGAGAGAAAGGTTACACTTTTTTTTCTAGTAGAAAATGCAAATGATGGTGTACAAAGTGACGTGTTTTAAATGTAACTTTGCTAAAATCATTTTTTATCACCAAAATATTACCAACGTCACCTTTTTTTTATCCTTAAAACCACACATCATTCGGATGTTGATTGTTTAGTAGGGTCGGCCTTGTTACGAGATTCTCAGTGAAACTCTCTAGTTGTTGCATATAGATGTTTCCTGAAGACTTCCGTTAAGGAAAGTCGTCTTGATATCCATCTACCAAATCTCATAATCCATATGAGGTGCTATAGCCAAGAGAATCCGAATGGATATGAACATAGCTTTCCTCATAATCGATTCCATCTTTCTGAGTATAACCTTTCGCAACAAGCCTAGTTTTGAAGGTTTCTACCTTCCCATCCAATCCCCACTTCCTCTTGTAGACCCATTTACACCCAATAGGTCGTATCCCATCAATTAGTTCTATAAGATCTCAGGCATGATTTGAGTCCATTGACTCTATCTCGGTATTCATTGCATTTTGTCATGATATCGCAACCTTGTCCTGAAGTGCCTCATCAAACGCTAAGTCTGAAGACTCTCCAAGGAACATGAACCGATCGAGCTGCCTAACAACCCTCCCACTGCGACGAGGTACTATCTACACAGATACATGATCAGTGTTGCGTGTTGCAGTAGTATGTGGTATACCTACTTGCGCACTCAGTAAGAGACTAACAGTTTCTCCCCTAAGTTCTTCCAAGACAAGTCTACTAGCGGGTTTATGGTTCATAATATAGTCTTTTTCCAAGAATCTAGCGTTCGTGCTAACGATCACCTTCTAATCCTCAAGACTATAGAATAAACCTCCTTTCGTTCCTTTAGGGTAGCCTACGAACAGTCGTACTTCCGTATGTTTATCCAACTTGACAGTGTCTTCTCGTAGCACGTGTGCTGGACTACCCCATATTCAAATGTGTGTGATAGACTGGGCTTGCGCCCCAACCACAATTCAATAGAAGTACTGGATTCGATGGAACAAGGTTCAGAATGTACGAGGCTGTTTCGAGAGCAATTCCCCATAACGATCCGAATAACTCATCATCGACCTAACTATTTCCATAAAAGTTCTATTCCTTCGTTCTGCTGAAGCATGTCGGGTGCAATGAGTTGGGACTCAATTCTGTCTGTATTGTTTTAACTTTTGTGTTACCATTTCTGATTGTTTTGTGCCTCAAACGTTGTCACCTCTTGCATTTGTTTATTTGAAATGTCTAAATTTAACTACAACAACAACAACATAGCCTTTAGTCCCAAGCAAGTCGGGGTAGGCTGGAGATGAAACCCAAGAGAAACACAAAGGACTCGAACCAAAATAAAGTGAAAAAAAAAAAAGAGACAGAGAGAGAGAAAGGAGCAAAAGTCACGGTTTCTGGCACGTTGATAACGAGCCTCCAAGCGCTCCTGTCCACCGCTAAATCCTTGGAGATATTCCAATCTTTAATGTCTCTCTTAACCGACTCTTCCCAAGTGAGTTTAAGCCGAACTCTACCTCTCTTAACATCCTCGACCCGCTGTAGAACTCCCCTACGCACCGGTGCATCAGGAAGCCTCCGTTGGACATGTCCGAACCACCTCAGCCGATGTTGAACCAATTTCTCCTCAATTGGGGTCACCCGACCCTATCTCGAATATCCTCATTCCGGATTCTATCCTTTCTTGTGTACCCACAGAAGCAACGCAACATACACATCTCTGCTACACTTAGTTGTTGGACATGTTGCCTTTTTGTAGGCCAACATTCAGCACCGTATAGCATCGTCGGGCGAATCGCCGTCCTATAGAACTTACCTTTTAGCCTTTGTGGCACCCTCTTATCACAGAGAACGCCCGACGCCTGACGCCATTTCAACCAATCGGCTGCAATTCTATGCCTAACATCAGCATCAATGCCGCCATCCTTTTGTAGCATCGATCTCAAATACCGGAAAGTCTCCTTCTTGGCCACCACTTGCCCGTCAAGGGTAACGTCACCATCATCATGTGAAGCCATGCTGAAAGCGCACGTCATGTACTCGGTCTTCGTCCTACTAAGTCTGAAGCCTTTCGACTCTAACGCGTCCTTCCACAGCTCCAAATTCTTATTTACCCCTGCTCTACTCTCGTCAACTAGCACCACATCATCAGCAAAGAGCATACACTAAGGGGTATCACCTTGTATGTCCCTTGTGACCTCATCCATCACCAAGGCAAATAGATAAGGGCTCAATGCTGACCCCTGGTGTAGTCCTATTTTAATTGGGAAGTCGCTGGTGTCGCCCCCACATGTTCGGACGCACGTCATCGCATCCTTGTACATATCCTTGATGAGGGTAATGAACTTAGATGGGACTTTGTGCTTTTCTAAGGCCCACCACATGACATTTCTCGGTACTCTGTCATAAGCCTTCTCTAGGTCGATAAAGACCATGTGCAAGTCCTTCTTTTGGTCCCTATATCTCTCCGTCAACTGACGTATTAGGAAAATCGCCTCCATGGTCGACCTTCCAGGCATGAACCCAAATTGGTTTTGGGTCACACTCGTCACTCGTCGTAGGCGATGCTCGATAACCCTCTCCCAGAGCTTCATCGTATGACTCATCAACTTAATCCCACGGTAGTTACCACAGCTTTGAACATCTTCCTTGTTCTTGAAGATCGGTACTAAAGTACTTCTCCTCCATTCATCAGGCATCTTGTTTGACCGGAAAATGTCTAAATTTAACTAACTCAATAAAATTATAAACAATATTTTGAATTATATTTATTAGCTTGGTGACTCAATACTATATATGGTTGTAGTAATCGACAAATTCAAATTTCTTATATTATTTTTCTTATGTTACTCAAACAACCTATTATTTGCTTACTGTCATGATAACTTGTACTGACATTTATATATAAAAAAATAAGGTGGTAAAAGTAGATTACGCATGACAGTATCAACATCTCGTCCAAGCTTTTCGTAGAGATTTGATTTTTCAGGTCAGGCTCCTTAATTTTCTTTTCGAACACGACACTATCATTAATGTGGATAACATACTTTTCTCGCAACCATCGTGTTTTGAAACAAAATCGTATACATTTAAAATAACCATGAAAATAGTAGTAACTAGAGGCAAAAATGAAAAAAATTTCGACGTCTCCAGAGAAACATGGTTTCGAACACGACACTATCATTTGATGAGGATAACATATTTTTCTCGCAACTATCGTGTTTTGAAGCAAAATCGTATACATTTAAAATAGTCATGAAAAATAGTAATAATTAAAGGTAAAAATGAAAAAAAATTTAACGTCTCCGAAAAAACCACAACTCATCTAAGTCATAACTAGAATTATTGACCAAGACGGGATCACTCATCCGTCTCGAGACATCAATTTAATCATAGACTTCAGACAGGACAAGCAATTAAAAGCGATGAAATACACATTACAGGGGTCTCCACCTGGATGTTGGCTAATGCAAGTATGAATGCAAGTACTGAACTGGCTGGTAGCAAGTAGAGGCTCGACTCTCCTCAAGCTAAAAAATATCGAGCAAAAATATTGTAAGTACTCAAGCTCAGAATAAAACTCGAATTTTTTATTATCTAATTTGCCTAGGTTCGCTCACTAGGTTTTAAAAATCATTTTAGGAATTTCTGAGCTGATTTGAAAATATTATTGTCTTTAAGGCATTCTAGAGTTCTCGAAATATTTCTAAGTCTGGACTACAGTCTGATTGAAATCTCATCTGACTGGTCTAATCTGACTGGAACCGTCCGGGCTGCTCGAACTAATTCGGCTGAACTGAAATTCTCTTCGAACAGTCCGGACTCTCTAGACTGGTTCGACTGAACTGAACTGACAGCTCATCGGCTATGTGCAGCTCGACTTGACCGTGATCCGAGTTCGGCGTGGCAACTCAAGGCCTGCACGAACACGGCTAACACGGCTTTGCCGGTGCACGGGTTTGAAACGATGCCACGATCACTGACGCAGGGGCGTGCTTGGACTACGGCTAACAAAACGACGCGTTGAGGGTAGATCGGACGGACTCGGTGCACGGGCACGCAATCGGTGATTCGACTCAGACTCGGTGCACGGGCACGCATTCGGTGGTTCGACTCGGACTCAGTGCACGGACACGCATTTGGTGGTTCGGCTCCAACGTCGGACGATGGTCGAATACGTGTGCGGGATGTCGAATTGCGTTAAGGTACGTGTTAATACACGTCGGTTGGATAATTCCGATTGCTACGAGGCACACGGCCTCGAAAGCCTCCTTGGGCTCGGTTATGGTCCCGTCGACGACTAACCGGCCAACCGTCCACATCCCGACACCTAAGCACTCATTTATAATCTTATGAGTTTAAACGGAACTAAGGTTCGGGCGTTTAAACTCGGATCCAAATACCCGGTTATCAGAACCGGATAAAACTAGGGTTCTCGATTCTCGAAAATCCTAACTCATTCAAGGTCAATATTTTTAGAACTTACGTTGTACATGATTCATTAGGATTTACGTCCCACCACTGCAGCTAAAATCACAATCGACTAATTTTCTAAAATATCGCATTTTATCAGTTAAAGTCCCAATTTTTAATCTGTCAAACGGCCACTAAAAATCACGAAATTTAAAATATATCATCCTCATCACCTAAATGATTTGTGGTCAACATATCAAGTCCAAAGTCAACACCTAACTCCTTCAACTAATAATCGCATTAACCGGTCAAAATACACATAAAATCCGTTCAAACGAACCCCAAAAATCACCAAAATCGCACCTAAGCCTCAAGAAAATTTATTATGATTTATCAAGTTAAAATTATCATTTTATCACTTGTATATTAAGAGATCAAAAAATCGATCCTCCCAAGCTCGAAAGATTCCGATTAATTCCAATCTCGCTCAAATCATCAAATTCTCATTTTTATAATATCTCATTAAGCATATCTAAGCTCATGGAGAAGAGATCAAGTCGATATACCTCAAATCGGCTCGAATCGAAAAATCGAAAGAGGGTCGGTTGAAGCGAAACGGGCCGTGAATGCCGAATCGGGTCAAACACGAGTAGATCGACTCGCTTCAAGGCTCAGCTGGTCGGAAACGGCTCGGGCCTGAGGTCGGGATGACTCGAACGGGGTTGGTTCGAGCTGGTCGCGCGGATCGGGACTCGCACGGGGCTGAACGGGTCTCGGTTGGAGCTGACCGAGTCGAGAAGGGCTGGAACCGGGCTCGTCGGACTGTCGGGAAGGCTGGCTGTGAACTGTGCGGGGCTCGCCGGCGGCGATGGTTCGCCGGAAGGCTCGACCTGCGGTTGAAGAGGGCGGCGACGGCGTACGGCTGGGATGCACCAGCTTCCGGCGTCGAGATGGACCTTGCCGTGGGCCTTCCGGACGACGGCGACCCGACTGGAAGCAGCGGCAGAACTCGTCGCGGTGGCTGCGAACCGGATCTGGGACGGCGAGGCTCGGTGACTGGATAGCTGCGACCGGGGTCGCCAGAGTTCGGAGCTCGCCGTGAAGGGGTTGGACGGGCTGAGGACGGCGGCCAAGGTGGTGCTCGCCGGAAATGGAGGTGAACGGAGCTGCGGGAGAGGGAGGAACTGCTGCGACTGCGGTGTTTCGACGGGGTTGAGGTCGCCGGAGGTTTGGTCGTCGGATAGTGGTTCGCCGGAGCACGGTGGATAGCCGGAAATTGGCTGGTTTTACTTGGTTGAAGGAAATGATTATAAGTGGATGTGGTGGGCTAGGGTTTATGGTAGGTGTGGATGAAGATGTAATGGAGTGGGAAAATGGACTAAGTGTGTTGCTCTTGTTGGGCCAAAAAATCGGGCTTAGGAATTAAATCGGTTTGGGCTCGAAGTATTACTCGACTTTGGCTCGATTAAGTCGAATAGTGACTTAGGAAAATTAAATGCTCGGCAACATAAATCGATTGGAACTTGGACTAATTAAACTAGTCGATTGATTTAGATAATAATAGGTCGGGATTTAAAAATCGAGATAGGCTTGATTTTTAATTAAAATCGAACATGGGCTCGATTTACTAAAATGAGTCGGAGTTAAAATAAATGGGCCGATTACAAGGGACTCGCTTGATTATTGGGATTTGGCCCAACTTAATAATATTTCCAATTATTCCAAGGTTCGGTTTTATCTTAAAAATAAAGTTCGATACTTGAGCTAAATAAATTCAATTTTAATAATTAAAAATCGAATAAATTCTCTATGGCTTAGACTTTATATTAATTACTCGGTTTAATGCATATAATCATAATTAAATGCATCAAATAAGGAAACTGACTATTTATAGAAATAAAGTCGAGCTCCATAAATAATAACTAATATTCGGTGCGTTACAGTGTGACCATAAAACTTGGGACCATCTTTTTCTAGATGAGTTTATATTGAATCTTCCCGACAGTTGGCTTCATGACATGGGTTCTTGTGTTAGATCTACCCCTCGTAAATACATTATGAGAGCTATTTAAAGAACATTAATTCTTCTGTTATGTTGGCATACTTTATTGTGAAAAACTCAATTGCTATTCACCGCCCCCCTTTTACTAGTCCCTGCCCCCCCCTCCATTTACTCTTTTGCCCTTAACCATTTTTCAGACTCTATCTGTCTGAACTTTCTATCTCTTTAAATTCCCGAACTTTCAACGAGCGATTCGAGCACCGAAAAAAATCCGAAAATGTCGAAAAAATTCTACGGCATCGACAAAGCGTTCTTCTCTAGCAAGGTAATTTTTTTTTTTATACATGAATAATTTTTAAAAAGAAATGTAATTCTGAATCGCGTCCGGCCGTCGCCTCCGGACGGCCCAAAATGCGTCCGGTTGAATAAATTGTAATTAATTATAAATTCTAAAAATAATATTAATAATTATAAATTATAAATGCTTATAATAATAATATTATAAGAAATAATAATAATAATAATTTGTATGATAATTATAATTAATTATAATAATAATTATAAATTAGTATTAATTATAATAATTTAAATAAAAAATTATAATAACTATTATAAATTTCAACAATTATAATTATAATAATAATTAATAAAATTTATATATTAAAATAAAAATGAATTATAATCTATTTTTAATAGTTATTACAATAGTCATTACATATGGAAAAATTTAATAATTATATTTCTGATTCAGGGTGTTGGCAGACCTGGACAATCTAATGTCAGGGACGACGACGAGGCGTTCGATGACTATTATGATGGTTTTGGCACCCGACACACTAGAAGTCGGGGTGTCAATGCGTCCGTTCGTCGGGACAGACAGACGTTGATCGATGAGGCTCGGAGGGTACAGACTCTTCAGGCTAGGAGTTCGAGACCCCCCGCACCAGTGCGAGATGGTCCGCAGGGATATCATTTTGAGGGTCAGCCAGATAGTTCGCGACTCCACGGAGTCCTCCCGTATGGTGAGCATGGATTTTATTATCCTGGCCAGGCAGGCAGTTCGATGCCCCCGGCACCAGGACGATCAGTCGGGATATGCTTTTCCCCGCTACGCAGGGAAGTCGATACCTCCTCGCGCACGCGTACCATTACCCTATGGTCAGCAGGGTATGCTGATGAGTCGTATGACGAGAGGGAGCAGGGTCCAGATGAGTATGACTCGGACGACTCCTCAGATGATCAGGACCACGCACAGCCTACGGGTCCTAGCCACCCTCGTCCTACTGTACAGCCTGTTCGTCTTGTACAGCCGGTTCTACAGCATGTTTGTCCGGTACAGGCTGTTCGTCCTACACAGGCTGCTCCTCAACGACATGCTGGGGGGCGTTTTGGCCCATCTGCATCCTCATCAGGTAAATAATTTACGTATTTATTGTTGTTTAACATAAATTATTTTCACTTAATCTTAACAAATTATCGGTACTGTTAGAAAAGTATTATCAGCCTGCTCCTCAACTACGGTATAATTATTTTGTAATTTAGAGGAACCATACAATTAATTTGTTAGAAAATTATTATAATTATTTTTATTATTGTTATAATCATTTAGTAGTAATGTTACATAATAAATTAGTTTAAAATTTTCATTATATTTTATTAATGTAAAATGTAATGTTTGTACATTAATTGAAAAAACAAAGAAGAGAAACTTATGAAATATGTTTTATTAAATATATTTTATTTAATGCATCTGCTAGCAAGTCTATATATACAGATATGTTGTATTTTAATGCAGGTACTAGCAAACGAGCTAGGACCGATGATGATGCACCTTGGATCGTTAAAGGCCCAGTGGCCGGTGGGCCCATTGATGGGAGTGTCGTCCCTAGCTTTCTAGGGCACGTCGCCTCCCGCATGTGGAGTGGAGATTTGAGGGGTCCGCTGAAATGCCACAACAGACTGAGAGCGGTCGAGAATCTGAAGGCTTGGCGTGAAGAGATGTCTTCCGATGCGAGAGCTTTTCTCGACCAGACCGGGCTGTGACATTTGGCTGACTGCATGCACACCCACTTGGACACCCCACTCCTTTCTGCGTTTGTGGACCAATGGCAGCCGGATACTAACTCGTTTCACCTGCCTTTTGGTGAAATAAGCATCATGTTGCACGACGTCTGGGCCATTTTGGGCGTTCCTGTGGAGGGAGCCGTGGTCGCTAAGGACCCGGATTCGGACGCTTGCCATGGGCTCTGCATGTCGATACTTTCGGTCACCAAGGGCGAACTCATGAGTTCGTTCTGGCAGCGTGGTTCGGTGTCCGAAGCCGCCAATTCGGGGGCATTCAGGGGGAAAGGTCGGCCAGCTAGGGATGAGGCGGGTGCCTGGATGTGGGTGATGTTGGCTACCACATTGTTCGTCGACAACAGTGGTAGTAGAGTGACCCCCAAGCTCCTGCACGAGGTGCTCGACGGCTTGGATTTGATTGGGGGTTACTCATGGGGATCGGCTACGCTGGCATACATGTACAGACAACTAGGTATTGCCAGCCGAGGGGACTCTGCCCAAATGTCAGGCTGCTTGACTCTTCTGCAGTCTTGGATATATGAGTATTTCCCCAATCTCCGACCCCGGGGGCGTCTACCCATCGGTCCTGACTGTCTCGCACGATCACGCTCGTGGAGCGTAGGGAATGCGCCACGGTCAGACGATCGGCTCACAGCCATCCGTCGGCGCCTCGACAGACTCACTGCCTCCGATGTACGTGAAGTTATTTTATAATTTAGTTACCTGTTATTTAAAATAATATAATTATTTTTATAAATGCTTTTATGCAATTGTGAACAGGTGCAATGGTTTCCATACGACAGCTCCAGCCCAGATGCGATAGAGCCGAGGACCCTTTATAGAGGATTGATTCGATACCGCGATGTCGTCGAGTCGTACTTGCCTGCGCGGTGTCTGCGTCAGTTGGAGTATGTCGAGACTGTCCTTCCCCCAACATACCCGCAATCAGTGCAGTACGTGCTTGGGAGTCTAGGAACTACAGGGTTGAGCATTCTGAGGCTGCTGCAATAGGTGCCTGGACCCAGTTCCCGATTTCTGGGACGGTCAACACCGCTATGTTCACCCCCACCACACAGGATCGCGGGGAGGCGACTGAGGATTACCTGCAGTGGTACAGTCGGGTTTCCCATCCGACTCTCATGGGCGAGGAGCTGCCGGATGAGAACGAGGTCCCTACACGTGTCAATACCGCCTATGTAAGTTGGTTACCAAATTTTAATTAATGTTATTTCATTACAATAATTTTTTTTAATAAATTTTAGTCTTATCTTTTTATTCTTCCATTTTTTTAGTGGGTGAACCGTCTTTTGGGCATTACATCGATTTGGCAGCAGGGAGGTGAATGTCCGGTGGCGGCGGAAGTCGCAGAAGAACTGGCTAAGTTTAAGTTAGATTACGACAATGCTCAATAATGATGTAATGAATTTTTTTTTTAATTATTATTGTAAAACATTAAGTTGAATGATTTCTTTTTATTATTTTTAAAACATTAAGTTGAATGGTTTATACTAAAAATGAAAAAAACAGTACCATTAATGCAATTTTCGATTACCCTGTAACACGAACGTATGTTCCTGCGCTTCGAGACAGGCTCGTTCTCCTGAGAGTCCCGATGGGTCGACTCGGGACTCTCAGGAGAACGAGCCTGTCTCGAAGCACAGGAATATACGTTCGTGTTACAGGACAATCGAAATCGCATTAATGGTACTTTTTTTGTCATTTTTAGTACATAAATCATTCAAATTAATGTTGTTTTTTTTCGCTAAACTTAAGTAAGTTGAATGAGATTTTTTTTTCTTATTGTAAATCATTAAGTTGAAAGTTTTTTTTTTTTTTTTGCTAAACTTAAGTTGAATTGATTCATTTTTTTTTATTTGCTAAACTTAAGTTGAATGAGAAGCGTCATACCACAAGTGAATAATATCGTTCTTTTATTCAAGAAGGTTTTGTTTGAACAGTATACCGCAATCGTAACCTAGCCTCGTACTGATCCTCCCAACCCACAACCGATTGATCTCGGTAACGGAACCACATGAAATGAATAGGTGGTAATGGACAATCATGAGTCAAATCTAAACGAATGTAGTGTGCTACGGTACCAAGATGGCACATGGCAATCTCACGACATGGTCCTCTAGCCGATGATCGTGCAATGAGAGGCAACACTGTGATGCTGAATAAGTCGTGCTGCCCACCTTGCGGACCAGAGCTCAACAGAACGACAACCACATTATATAGGGTCGCAACGGCGTAGAGGTCCTGCGGAACTTCGAACCAGTGAGCCCGTCCACAA